GAAACCAAAGGCCATGCTTTCCCTGCTTTTCAAATAAAAAACACAAATGTCTTGTGACAACACACTCAAACACACACATACCCCCCAGTGACAGTCTGTGCCCCTGTCCATCTCCTTAATCCACCGTCACTATGAGAGAAAAGCCTGTCTAGGGTGATATTTGTGGAGAGCAATGGCTGTTGGCTAGCTGTAAGTCCTCTTTGGTAAAGGATATAACTGGGATTATGTCCGCATCGGGCTGCCTTTAGAACAGGGAGATGAATTCTCCTAGTTGAGCATCTCCAAATGTGACCGCCGGGATCATGCTAATATTTATGATTACTTGGCCGAGGTTCTTATCTGCAAACTGCCACACTACATTCGGAATAATTCTGTTCTACTGCAATATCTCACAATCAATTTTTACTTTAAAGGAGACAAAATAACACAAAATTAGGCCGGTAGCCTCAGCACTTAGCAGGAAACATATGAGGGTTTGGGGAGAGTGGGAAAAATTGGAACATTGCATGATGATGATTGAGTGACAGGTGAAGGCCTAATTATTAGCCTGGGTTTGGGGGGAATTTACATAAGCATTCACCATACACAATTTATTATTATTATTATTATTATTATTATTTTGCTTTAACTTTTACACAAACTATATAATTTATGCACACTGTATGAATATTTAAATTAATTTAACTAATATTAACTTTTAAAGGGGTCATATGATGCGATTTAAATTTTGCCTTTCTCTTTGAAGTGTTACAAGCTCTTGGTGCATAAAGAAGATCTGTAAAGTTGCAAAGACTAAAGTGTCAAATCCAAAGCGATATTCTTTATAAAAGTTAAGAGTCAACCATGCCTACCTAAAACGGCTCGTTCTAACACGCCCCACATGTCTACGTCACGATGTGGAAAGATTTGCATAACGCCGCCCAAATGTTCACGCAAAGAAAGAATGTGTAACTTTTATTCTCGCTGTAGTATTGTTGCTGCCGCCGCCGCCATGTCGTGAAGGCGCTGTGTGTTTCGTTGTGAAAGCGAAACTACTTTGTTTGGCCTTCCAAAAGAGGACACGACTAGAAATCAGTGGTTAAGTTGTATTTACAACACTGTTCCAGAAAAGTTATTCAGATGTGTGCAGCGCATTTTATGGAGGACTGTTTCCTGATCCTGGGAGAGTAGACTACAATGCCGGCAGTTCTGACTCACAGACTGTAAGTACGTTTTTATTTAAAGGATTTGCCACTGATGATTCAAACGCGAGTTTTGAGCAGTGTAGAGTAGTGCTTGTTGTTCGTAATTTCTCCGATCAAAAATGCAGACATGGTTTTATGTTTACGCGGCGCGGTGCGATGCAACGCAACGCGTAAAAAGACCATGTAAGTCATTATAATCCGTGATTATGTCCCAACTGGATGCAACAAATGCCTCGTTTATAATGGATTTTAATGTTTTTGTCTCATCGCTCATCACAGTATGGTAAGGGGCGTAACATTTCCGTCACACGCTTCAGGTATTCGGCCAATCACAAAGCACTGGATAGCTGGCCAATCACAGCACACCTCGCTTTTCAGACCGATGAGCTTTGTAAAAATCGACACGTTTCAGAAAGGCGGGGCACAGAGGAGAAACAAAAATGTACAGTATGTGGAAAATAATGTGTTTTTTGAACCTTAAACCGCATAAACACATTTCATTACACCAAATAATGTTCTTTTTAGCAACATCATATGACCAGTTTAAATTTAAATGTAATTACTGATGTAAGTGAAATACACGGAAAATTGAAATACTTCAGTTCAGCAAAATCATTCACTGGCATTCACTTTACTTCCATCTTTGATGTAAGCAATGGCATTGGGAACCAAAATCTATATAAACTATATATA